AATATTGTCAGTGAAACCCTTAATCTAGAAAGTGAAAGAGCACTGAAGTTGTTTCTCATCTGTGTACCTCATTTTTGGCAACCTAAACAGAAATGAAGTGTGCTATAGATAACAATCTTGTCACAAAGCGCTGTTTCTGAAAGCATGTTTTGGATCTCTGAGAGCAAACGCTATCTTCTGCAGCAGTTACTTGCAGTTCAATGGATGTTTTTGCTTCCTTCTTCCATGCTGTAGGTTGCCAACTATGGAATGGGAGGGCAGTATGAGCCACACTTTGATTTCTCTAGGGTAAGATCACACTTTCAGTTATTTTAATGGGGCAGGGAGCGGGGAACAGTTTGTTTTGAGAGAAAACTGTTGAAATGGTTTTCTCTTAAAACACTTAATGTATAGCCCTGTTGCATGGATGGATTATGACTTTTGAAAAGCCTTTGCTCTGCCTTCTCTGATGCTGAAAGTTCAAGAGAACACTGAACAAATCTGCCTGCTTATCTTTGTCACCTTGGTTTCTTGCACAGTGTAGAGATATTAAGATAGTCATGGAGCACTCGAATGTGCTCTTTCCATTGCTTTATTTGGAAACTGAGGTCTGCAAGCCCTGGGTTGTGAGTCCATGTTGTTCCATTAGGCTTCCGAGTTCAGCAAGGTTGTCTGAGTCCTCCTTTGGTGGATATTTTAAAGCACTTTGCAGGAGCTGGCTGAGGAGGAGACATCCTCCTACCTCCCTTCAGAAAAGTAGCCATTATGGAAATCTTCATGTGTCATAGAGCCCTTCTGGCAAAACCCTTAGTGTGGCTGCAGCTATAGGGTCTGAAAAGGGTTTGTCGGGTTGATATTCGGGAGGTCAGTGCCACAGTGAGCAGATGAACTTGCAGCTGGTCGGTGCCAGATCCGCAGTAGGCACTAGAGGGCTCTACCTGGCAGATAACAGCTCTGGTTTGCTGCAAGTTGGGGGGAGAAAAGAAGAACAGAAATTCTTAATTGTTACCCTAAAACAGTTTCTGAACATGCTAATCATACTGAAGAGCTATGGCGACTGGTCATTTCAAATATAAAATCCATCTGATGCCTTCGTTTCCAGTAGAACCGTGGCATTTCAATGGAATCTGGCTTAATTCAAGCTGTCCCAAGTGGTTTTACCTGGTAGAAGGATTGCTGCAGCCAGAACGCAACCCGATAATTGAGTGCAGAATTAAAGCCGCCCAGCTTAGCACTGTTTAAAAATAATAAAAATAAAAAAAATCTTGAACTACAACACTGTGGAAGCTCATATTCGTTAGCTTTGGCCTGTTGAGAGAATTTTCCTGTTAACTTTAAGACTGCTTTGTTTCCTGAGTCAAGCAAATGCTCTTAAATTTTCTTCAGAGCCCTTGAACTCAAGGACTTCAGCCATCAGATTGGCCAGTGTGGACTTTACTGTTGGATTAGGCAGCTGGGGCAGAGCTGCACTTGGAACATAACCTTGGCTGCAGTCATCGGTTAAGGCAAGGCAATCGCAGAATTTGCCATAGTTTTGGACTGGTCCTCCAGGCTCTCTGTGCATCACAGATTTCTGTGTTGAAATACAGAGATACTGCTGTGTCTCCCCATCTCCTGATCAGCCTTGCAGCCCTTTGTTCCCTTGCAGTTCTCAAATAGGGGCATGTTAATAGTTGCATATTACAATTTTGAGGTTTTATTGGCTGCTCAAAAGTTAAGAGAAATCTTTTGATATTGAAGTTCAGAAATGCATGGCTGGACCTCTGTTTGGCAGCAGTGGCAGAAACCAGGGAATCCCCTATATCTCAATGATCTTATGTTGGCTCTTAGATGGAATTTGCATATGCAGATGCAAAAGTCTTTTTTTTTTTTTTTATGAACTTATTTCAGGAAAGACCTTTTATTTCTTGAAATACACTTCAGGCAGACTGAACTCTAACATCTTAAAGATGGTGGCTGTGGTTTTCTGTGCTGTTTGTTTTTTCTAGTACTGATTTCTGCTTCTCTTTAAATGTTCAAGATTATTGTTTTTTGTGTAGAAGAGTGCACCTTAATGTCTCCTGGCTGAAATGACTTTTAATTGCCTTTTTTTGAAGGGAGGAGACACACATTGGTATTCTAGATGTTCTTTCCGCTTCTAAACTGGCACCAACGTGATCTCATGCTTCAACAGACGAAACTCAGTGTTTCCTACAGAGTAAAGACAATTTGATCTTTTTGATGTGGTCCTTAATCCTAGACAGGCAACCACCTGAAAGAAGTTCATTATTGCTATTTTGCAATTTTGCCTACTGGCAAAAAACGCATTTTATCTTCTCATGACAGTACTTCTTCGAGTTGCTACTACATTTACGAGACTCTAGTGTGATCCCTAAAGCCCACTGAAGATGAGGGGTTTTTTTATATTCACCTCAGTTGTTGACTTTGGATCAGTGTCCAGTACAGTTACGGCCTGTTTTAACTTTAACTTTACTTGAATAACATTTGTGCCACAGGCCCTGGAAACATTGCTTCTACTCTGCCCTAAGAATTGCTTCAGTGCTACTTCTCCTTATAGCATCTGAGCGCTACGTGCATGCATTTATGCACCCTGGCTGCAATTTGTAATGGCTTTAATGTTGCCCTGTATCAATTGTCCCCTTTTTATTCCAATTCTTTTTAAATTGGGCTTAAGGATCTCTCTGCAGAGCTACACATATGTAACACTAGTGTGAGCCTGTGTGGAACTTGGGTTAAAGTTGTTGTCTGTTACAGCGACCCTTTGACAGCACACTCAAATCGGAAGGAAATAGGCTAGCGACGTTTCTTAACTATGTAAGTACCTCTGTTTGTCTGCTGTCTGTGAGCTTGAAGTTTGCAGTTATTCTCATTTAATTTTATAGAAAGATGAGCCAGATGCTTTCAAGCGGTTAGGGACTGGAAATCGTGTGGCCACTTTTTTAAACTATGTAAGTATGATGATCCTTTATGCATTGAGTGTAACTTCAGCAGCATCTTGTTTACAGCTTGTGCAGTTGGTTATTTGTAGAGATTCCCTGGCATCTGGAAGTAGGGATTTCATTATTCTTGCAGCATCAGGTGCTGTCCCATCTGAGTTGATAGAATTACGGTGGTATTTAACCTCAGAGCAGAAAATTTGAATACAGGGCCCAGCTTCCCCTTTTGGCCACTCTACTATGAAGTCTTTGGATTCCTCTTGGTGGGAGAGGAGAACCTGGCTTGTTTCTCAAGGCGGGTGCTTGGGGTACTCATGTGGTACGCTGTTTGAGAACTTGACTATCAGCCATTTGCTGCGAGACAGTCACGTTCTTCCACCACTGTTTGACAGCACTTGATGTTGTGGTCTGTCGGCCTCCATTTCAGCTGTTTGTCAAAGCTAGGGTTACTCTGGCATAGCTGTTGCTTCAGCAAATGGAGGAGACGTAGCTAATAAACTCGCTGCAACTGGGTTACAAATGCAGAATTGAAAAGATTCATTAGTTGCATGCATTATACAGCCCTGCAGACCATGTACACTGGAATCACAAACATAACTGCCAGTGATACTAGTGGCCTAATGTTTTCACGGTAGTCTTCTGACAGTATTTTGTCAACCTATACTTACTATATCAGTAATCAGGATCTACTACGTCTAACTTTTGAGTGATACAGCTTCAAATTTAAAATTCTGTGGTGAAATATTTATGGCTGAGCTGGTATTTTAAGTGTGAAATGCAGCTCAAAACAGAACCAGAAATACTTTCAACTTGATATGGCAGGGGAGGAAATAATCTCTGAAATAAGAATGAAAATAAGATAAGTAGCTGTGAAGTAATCTGCTGCTAAGAGGCTTTAATTTTAAATTGTCTCCATCTGTATTTTGTTTGCTTCTCAGACTTTTGGACAAGCCTTCATTTAGAGTGAATGATATGTACCTTATTCTCTGCCAGTTGTACATGGTCAAAGGTGATTTACCCTTGTATGTCTGACGTAGACCGTATCATACATGTGCCAACACCCTTACTAAAAAGAGTGGTTGTGTTGCTAAGATGTAGGTATTAACTTGCAAAGTTGCATGCACATGCTTTCTAGTTGGAAGGGGCAAAAACCTGTGCACCTATGGCATCTTATGCCCTTTTATTGTAGGTACCAAGCAGGAGGACACCAGAGTGGTAATAACATCTGCTTTAAACAGAAATCCAAGTTACAATAGAGAACGTGGGGACCTGGCGAGTGCATTAATAGTAGTTCTGCTGTTTAGATTTGGTGGGAGCTGAATCTGACTCATTTGTTTCTTTTAATTAGAATCTGATAAAAAAACTCACTGAAATGAGTGGAAAGATTTTCTGTTTTTAATGGGAGTATTTCCAGGAACTTCGGTGGGTTTTGTATCAAGTCTAGAATTTATAGTGAATCCATCATTACTGATGAATTCAATAGGGTTAAATTCGTTCCAGTGTAGAAGGGCGAAGCATAAAGATATATGCTTTTCTTTTGAGTTGCATAGCTGTATGTATTAAAGCTCAAGATGCAGAAAGCACTTGAAGTGGCATAACATCAGTGGTGAACAGCATAGAAACAGTGCAGAAAGTGAGGTTTTTCTAATAGTTTGTATAGTTTTTGAAGCGGTTGACCAAGATGCATAAACTAAATTATGAAAATCAGTTCCAAAGACATGGTTTCAATTTATGAGGAAACATGTGGTTAAACGCACTTATTTGTTTTCCTAATTGGATCATAAACTGGAATGAAATTCTTGAAACTGACTTGCTCTGAAGTCCTCTCCCTTGTTCTAGAGTACTAGTGTATTAACACTGCAGGTACGCAACTCCTTATGGCTAACTGTTGGTGCAATAGATTATGTATAATCTAGATGAAGTGCTGAACAAAAGCCTTTAGCTGAAATAAAAGCCTTCAATAGGAGGTACTGTTACTTTTGCAGTTTGTACTGGTTGAAGTGCATCCCTTCCTCATCAGTGCCTCTGAGGTGCAAGTAGAAATCTCTGTTAGGGCTTGGGGCACTTTGGTTTGTGGGACTGCATGTACAAAAAGCATTGTAAATGGACAGAGTTTGCGGACTTTGTTTTCTCAGATGAGTGATGTAGAAGCTGGAGGAGCTACAGTTTTCCCAGATTTTGGGGCAGCAATATGGCCCAAGAAGGTAAATTCTGTTTGATTTCTCCTCTCCTGTTGCTGTCTCTTCCTTAGTACAGTCCTGCATCCATTTAAAAGTTAGCTAACGTGACAAAGTGCTGTTCACTGCAACTTGATCGACAGGCTGCTGTGTATCAAGGCAGCTGTAGCTGATCTTCTAGACTGCAGGGCTGCTTCCTTTGTTTTACAATGTATAATGTGAACAGTTTCTGTGTAAAGCTGTAATTAACAAAAAAACCCCTTGTGTTCAGGCAGAACTCCTCTCTACTCTGAATGTGGCTGAATTAATGGAGTGGGACTAAGGGGGTTTTTGTATGCTGTCAGTGGTGGCCTATGTTAGTGCTTCATAAGAGCCTGCAGCTGAATTCATAGGTGTTTTTCTCCCCCCCTTACTGTAACCTGAATAATTATACTGACTAGGTTCTGACTAATCCAGATCTGATTTCACTTTTCAGGGAACAGCAGTGTTTTGGTACAATCTTTTCAGAAGTGGCGAGGGTGATTACAGAACAAGGCATGCAGCTTGTCCAGTACTAGTAGGGTGTAAATGGGGTAAGTAATACTCCTTTAGGAACAAAACCTGAAGGAAAGCTTATGTGTATGCAAAGCTGGTGATATACTGAGCCCTTATAACAGCATTTAATAACCCGGGTGTTGCCATTTTAACTACTGGAGTCATTTGGCCATAATGAAAACTCGAACCATCAATAGCATGTGGTATTAAGCAGCTACATTGTTCAGCTGTAGCTTTTCTGGCGAGGTTTATTTTGTGTTAAGGACAGCACAAAATGTCTAAGAATGTCACTGGATTTGCATAATGTATCAGCATCAGGACAACTTGAATTATCACTTGACTAGAATCAGGTCTGTTCCTACAAAGACTTGTGCATACTTTTAACTGCAAAAGGAGGAGAGCTCCTCGTAAGGTAAATGTGAATGTCTGGACACTGGGAATTTCTGCTAACTGCTGAAAGCTTCCCAAGCTTCATGTCATCCATTCCCATACCCACCTCCCCCAGCCTCCAAGGTATTCCCCTGGAGTGCCAGAGTATACTGATCTATAAGTGATACCAGACCCAGAATACACTGCTTGGTTACTGTTGGCCCCAGAATTGTGCAATTGGAAAGATCTTTTCTTCCCCACTCCTTTGCATCTTCCTATGTCTTTCCCATTGGATGGGTAGAGAAGTATAAGTAGGGATCCTCAGACTGAGAGATAAGATTTTACTTCAAGTAACCATCTGGGTTGCGGTGATACACACACTGGGTACATGGTGGTAACTAATTTCACATCCTTGTTCCGCAGTTTCAAACAAATGGTTTCACGAAAGAGGAAACGAATTCTTAAGACCTTGTGGGAGAACAGAGGTTGACTGAAACCCAACCTGCTGCAGGCCTTTGTTTCTCTGTCTCCTTTTCTACTGTTGTTTGTTCCAGTTCATTTCTAAGAAATGATCCATCTTTTTCTCCAAGAGTCCTGGCACTTTACCAAAAAAGGACAACAAAATATGTAACACCTGTGAAAGAAAGTAAATGGCATTGTACACATACTTGTGTTTTGGTTGCTGTTATTTCCATGTTCCCCCTGCCATCCTCCGTTGACCTGCCTTCTGCCCTCCCAACTTCCCCTGTACTAGTGGTGCAAACAGTGCTGTGGGCGATTCAGTACGTTTGGGTGCCTGGTCTTGTGCCTTTTGTACCTCAGAAGATTTAGATGTTAAATATTTCTTTGAACCAAAGGGGTTTTTTTAAAGTTTTGTGTACATGTTGATTTTATTGTATTTCTATGGATCACAAGTTTTGAAACAAAAATAAATGTTCTTTCCATAAAGTGATTCTCTATTTTGTGTCCTTAATAGGTATATCAGTGCTTGGTTTTAGGGAGCAGCGGGCCTTTACTTTTTCCTTTATTGAGGGCCTGTTGCTCTGTGGCCCTTTTTCTGTAGAAAATATGTCATGGTTTTGGACAGTCTTTTATTTAAGGCTCCAGCACCTTCTGCTAAAGCTGGAAAGGTTTAATTTGTGTATTGAAACTGGGAGCAGGCAGGCTGCACACTTTGGGCCAATGGAAACTGTCATCTCAGTATTATTACACTTATGAAAAGCCTTTCTCTGTGATAACTTTTCCTTTGTGGGGTACTATCTGTTTTTGATGCAAGCAGTTATAAAAATCTGAAGCCTTTCAAGACTTTCAACAGTCTTGTCAGTTCTTGATTCTAAAAGTAGGCATCTCTGCTGATGAAACACTGTATTTTTACTGCGGCAACACCTGATCCAGCAGAGCTCAACACCTATTGAAGTCAGCAGGATGGCTTGCAAGCAAATCTTAATCTACTTTTGTAGACTGGAGCAGGGTTTTGTCTTGCCCTTCAGGCAGGCTGGGAATAATCAATACCCTTTAAACCCAAGGATTCAGATTCTCCTTTGCCTTTTTGCTTTGTTAGCGTGTGTGTAATGGCCACAAGCCAACACATGGAGGACAGCGTTGTCCACAACAGAAAGGAAATCCCATTTCTGAATTATAATTCAGAAGAAATGACAGTTGATTGCTTAAAAAAAAAATAAATGAGCAAAGTTGTGGAGAAATAGGCAGATGTTTCAGAAATGTAGAAACTTGCTGTTGGTACCAGGCTGTTGTATCAATATGCCACTGCAGGGTGGATGGACTGCAGACCTCTCACTGGCCATTTCTGGTATGGGTATGACTTCATGGGAGTATGGATGACTGCAGGTGAACTTAAAGCCAAAAATGGTAATGGCTTTACAACTAAGTTATTGCTTAAAGACTAGCTTGGGCAATTGTTAATATACCAACATATTAAAATGGCCTCAGAAAGTGAAAGAAATTTCAATGACAGTGAAACATCTAGTTGCAGTCATGATTGCCATGTGACACACATTGGTTTCCTTTCGTACTTCTCTGTTGCCCTGTGTTGTGCAAAGACTGAATGAGCTAGAGTGAGGTAATGCTTAAAACAACTGTCAGGCAGGGTCAGAAGCAATGCACCTGCTGTCCTCCTAGGAGAGACTTGTGGCAGAAGGGGTTTACATGGTGGGTATAACAGATGGCATCCGTTTATTGTATTGGTAATAAATTGTGACTTAGCAATATATGTTTATGTGCCCCTGAATTTTACATGTGAGAAATTTAAGAACTTAATGGTTATTGCTTTGTTTAGTCATTTAGATGCAGCATGTAAGTACATGTATTCACTAGAGTTTTAACTTTTCTGTTAACCATACACAACTGGTAGAGAGAGGTCTTTGCCCAGGCAGAGATGTGTTGAGTTAATGACACTGAAATGAGAGGAGTATCTAGTCTTGTAAATAAGCTTTTTGTGAAGTTATAGCAGGTAGCTATAGGAATTGCAAGATTTTCTCCTAAAAGCTTTAATGACCTAGTACAGCATAGCTCGATAGTTGCTCTCCAGCCTCTCACAGTGCTGCTTCACTCGCCATGAATGTTGTGGTTGTTGGCTGGCTGTTCAGAATATTTCGTTGCTGACCTCTAGTTTTCTTAGTAAAATCTCTCAGCACAACATAAACTTAGGAAATCAGTTTTGCTTTATAACAAAGCATTCAACATATGGCAGCCTCACAGATGTGAAGAAGAACTGATGAGGAGCCAAACCCACAATCTCTGGTTGGAACACTTTGGATTTCGGGGGGAGGGAGAGGAATCTACTTAGACTTTCTGTCAATGTGGTATGTTGACAGATAAAGTTCACATCAGGACTCTCGCCAAAAATCTGCACATCCCACTTCTGAAATAGTGTAGTTGGCTGGGAAATACCATTGTTAACTGTATTATACTGAACTTTTTAAGCTAATTTTACATGTTTGTTTTCTCTGGGGAAAAACTCTATCCTATTCTGAGTTGCTTTCCACCTTGCTTCAGTCTGTCCATTGAAGTAGGATGTGATGAGTGGATGCAGAACTGCTCAAATGCTAAGCTTTCTTTTGTGCTGTGTGCAGGATTTGCTTACTGCTAAGCTGATCTGAAGAATAATAGCTATTTTAGAGAAAACAGCATATGTGACTCATGGGCATTCCTAACTTCCCAGGCATATTTGTGTAGTCTGACAGATTGTTCCTTATTCTGTCTCCTATCATTCTAGAAGATGAACAGAATATGGCAATTAGCCTAAAATTAAGCCTAAGGGATAGTTTTTAGACCTAAAAGAAGATTCATATGCTGGAATAAATAAGCCTTCCTCCATCTAGGCATAGGGAGCTTCTGCCAGTGTATCACTGGTATGGTAAGTACTTAAGTCTTGTTTAGACTGAAGTGGTTTTTCTCCTGACGTACTGCTGACTCTTCTTTATTTCACAGGGTTTAAATACTTTGTACAGATATTTATACACACTACAAAGGCTTACTGTGGACAAGTGGCTGCCAGACACTTTAAAGTGCTTTGGGGACCTTTCAGGTCACATCTGTTAGCGTTAGCTTGCTGATGTGGTCTTTAAGGCACTGCTCTGCATAACAGGTACTGATGAAAGCAGATACCATGTGAACTGTCATGGAAAGATGGTCTCTTATCGTGGCTTATGTAGTCATAAGAAGAACAACCACCCCCAGCCCATGCCAGTAATCCACATCCAGTTTGAGCATGTGGTTTCTTAACTCCTGGCCTGAATGCTACTGTGTGGACATAGGCTGTGTCACTGAGCAATTATGCAGCCCTCCAGCTGGGTTAGGAAATCACCTAAAGCATCAGTGTTCAGCTGTGTAGACTCAGTGAAGTACTTACCTTTTCTGCATTACAAGTTACTTCTCTTTCCTGTTACAGTGGAAAAACATGTGAAAATCATCTATCTAATCACTTTAGAGGGGGAAAACTGGCATCCAGCCTAAAATGTGTAGTGTGAGCAGAGAAAGGGTTTGGCTGTGATGGACAAGAGAAGCCATGCGAGCTATGGCAGAGAGAAATGGGGGCGTTCGGTGGGGAGGGGGACCATAGTTACATTATACAAGAGTTGTGTACCTCAGCTGAGCTATAAAATCTCTAATGTGAGAAGAGGAAGGGTCTTTTTTCAATGATGCCAAGTTTTATTTGAGATGAGGATGGTGTGCGTGTGTAAAGGGCAGCCTAGGATATAGCTGCCCCCCAAGCCTCTTCCTTCTGTTCTTCCTGTAAGCAGTGGTGGTGCTGGGGTACAGGTCAGCATAGTGTGTGCTCCTTCCTTCCTGAGGAAGAGGAATTCCTGTCTGGGACTCTGAAAAGTGCCAAAACCTGACACCTGTGAGCTCTAGGTGATGGGAATTTAAAGATACCAATTTCACATGTTTAGTCCTGAATCTGTCTCATCCTGCAGGGAAAAGACTACATAGACTGTGTGTGTTGAGGATGTGTTTATTTAACCAGAGGTCAGCGCTTGTCCTCTGTAGTGATTCAGATAATCCCTTCCTAAATGCTCATGTGGTTACTCCTCTGTGCTGCCCTTTGGGGATGGTTGCCTCCTGTCCCTCTGAGGGGAAGGTAAACCAGAAAAGGAGGATGGTTCCAGTTAAGTGCTTCCAGACCAGTGCAGCCCCAGGAACCCTTATGTTTGATCCGATTCCAGCTTCCCTGACTCCTGTCTTGGCCTTCCTTCTTCTCATCTATAACATAGCCTTACCTCTGGAGAGGCATCTGCGTGGCACTGCCAGCAGCGCAAGGGCAGAGGTGGATACCTAATCCTCCACATACCTTGCAGTGATACGCAGCGCACAGGTCAGGAGCTTTCTGGGGACTGTCATGGGATGCGCTGCCCAGAAAGCAAGCGTGTTGTTCTGGTGTCTTTGGACAGGAGTGTGACGATCATGCGAAATAATAGTAATGCTAAGATATGGTTAACCCACGGGTACCTTGCACCTCGGGATGTATGCGGGTAGCTGGCTGATGGCTCTCGCATCCCATAACAAACAATAGGTTTTCAATGATTGTAGGGTAACCCCTGCTTGGCTACAAGTTTTGATCATCCATAGCTGGGAAGCATTCATGTGTTTACCTGCTGTGTGAAGAGAGTGAGTAAAGCACATTAAGGAAGAAGAATGAAAGTGAGAATCTTCATCACGAGCATGGGAGAGATGCTGGATATCTTGGACTACCTGAAGACACAAAGCTAACCCCAGCGCTTTGCACATACCTTCTGGGATGCCTGTGCAGGTAAGAGGAGAATCTTGCCTACCCTCTGCAGTGCCATTTGGAAGCTGACCTTTCAGCAAAGCCAGGCAGTCCACATCCCATCACTTACCTCTGCTTGCTGTTTTGCACACAGAATCGCCTCAAAGACAGACTTTGTTCGCAAAGCCCTGGGAGAAACGGCCTCCCAGGCATTCTCCAGCTTTCAGAGATGGCCTTTGGCTCGAGCATGCGCTTTGGGATGTTTCTTTTGAGATTTCTAGTGAGTCCTTGAAAGAAAGTCAAGGATAAAACCAAGTTGTTCACCTGATGTTAAGCATCAACTGGGTCAAAACTCATTACGCAGCTGAAGAATTATTTTTCCTTGAAATCTGGTTTTCTGCTATGCTCCAAGGGCTCACAACTGCATCAGCAACTTATATGGGAAACCAGGGTTCCGGTGACCCGAGTCCTTGC